GGAACCAGGCAGAGGGCCTTCTCAGTAGTTGCTTTCACCCTGTGGAACACTCTCCCATCAGATGTCAAGGAAATAAACAACTATCTAACTTTTAGAAGACATTTGAAGGCAACCCTGTATTGGGAAGTTTTAAATGTTGGACATTTTGTTATGTTTTTATATGTGCTGACAGCCACCCAGAGTGGCTGGGGAAGCCCAGCTAGAAGGGTGGGATATAAATAAATTATTATTATTATTAAGCTTGAGAGTATCATACTCCAAGCTGTAGTTAATTCACAATGTGCAGCAGTTGCTCACTGGCCTGAGCTAAGTTTACCAGTTCTAGTTCTGATGTGACTCCAGACAGGTGTGTGTGTGCGTCCAGATTTTCCAAGTGTCCCTATTTTCCAGGGACAGTCCCAGATTTACAGAAGCCGTCCCAATTTCTGATTTGACCCTAGAATGTCCCGCTTTTCCTTAAGACGTCCCTGTTTTCATTGGAGAAATTTTGGAGGGTATGGAGTTATGTGACTCCCCCGAGCCAAGGAGATAAGTAACTCTATAGCCTTTAGAACAGTGTTTCCCAACCTTTTTTGGGCAAAGGCACACTTGTTTGATGAAAAAAATCTCGAGGCACACCACCATTACAGCCCCGTGACGTCAGCGCGCAGCGTCACGCCGGGAGGGACGCACGAAAGTGTAAGTTTCAATTTTTTCCCCTCCCCCTTGCCGGGGAACCTCCAAGCTTTGGGGGTAGGGGGGGGAGGCAGCAAAGCGAGGGACTGAGGGACTCCTCCAACGACAAGGGTTGGGGAAGAAGAGAAAGGCTATTCCGCTCCAGTCCTTTCTGAAGGAGCTGAGGGTGGGGGTCCTCCGGCGCCTTCGGCGAAACGGCGCTGGCCCAGAGCGCTTCTAGGAGGCTGCCTTTGTGCGCGATGTAAAGCCCTCTTTCCCTCCCTCCAGCCCCGTGTCACCTGTGGAAAAGGGGGCTGGATCCAGTGACGCAACTCGGAAAACTGTTAGGGAAGCCAGAGCAGGAAAGTGAGTGGGGGGCGGCGGCGCCGCTTTAACCCACGTTTCCTTTTTGAAAGAGAAACTTAAGACTAGATGACCCTTGGGACCCCTGCCAACTCTACAGTTCTATGGCCCTTTGTGGAGGGGGGGCAGCACCTGGAAAGACGGGCTAGGGGATAATTGGGGCGGCCGCCTTAGGCACACCAGAAGCGAAGCACGTCCTGAGCTACAAAAACAAACCCAATTCCTGCCTCGTTTTTTGCAGTTTCTGCAAAGCGAGGGAGTCTCCCCCGCCTCCATTCCTCGGTGCCTCCTCCTCCCCCTGCTCCCCACTACGGGTCTCCCCTGCACTTGGCCAGGCCGCCTCGCCCTCCTTCCTTTCCCAGAGCAGTGGCTCAGAGCGCCTCCTTGCACCGCAAGTACACTCCGTGGAGAGGGGAGGGAGCGGAAGCCCAGACCAGCCCCCAACCCGCTTAGTCCGACCCCTCAAACCTTCCCAAAATAAGAACTCTGCGTTCTACAACGTCACCCCCCAGCGGGGCCCCCTTTATTCCCGGTGAGAGGGGGGCGGCGGAGGGAAAAAGCTGCTTCCCACACTTACCCGCCGCCATCTTGACTTCCCGCAATGAGCCGGATGCGGCGCCTAAGCTCCCTGCCGTCGCTTCTCCGCCTCCTCTACTTTGCACAAGGCTTCAGGGTCGCCGGCCGATTCATCCATCGGCCGCCCTTTCAAGCCCACTCGGAGGAGGAATGAGTCGAAAGAGCCAGAGACGCAGCCGCAGTGGAAGCCCCGCCCCTCCCTTCCAGTCTCGGGGCGGGGCAGAGGCCACCAGGCTGGCAAGCAGAGCGCCGAGAGCGAGGAAGCTGATGCAACGCAGAGGCAGACCCCGGCTGGCGTGTGTTAGAGCAGTGTTTCCCAACCTTTTTTGGACTCGCCCGCCTCCCTCCAGGCAACACCTCGCGGCACACCAGGCAACACCTCGCGGCACACTACTGTGCCGCGGAACACCGGTTGGGAAACACTGCTTTAGAAGACATCTGAAGGCAGCCCTGTATAGGGAAGTTTTGTTTAATGTTTTATTATGTTTTTATGCAGAATGGCTGGGGCAACCAAGTTCAGATAGGCAGGGTACAAATATTATTATTATTATTATTATTATTATTATTATTATTATTATTATTATTATTATTATTGAATAGGGCATCCCTATTTTCATAAGAGAAGTGTTGGAGGGTCCTGGTCAATTTTTTAAATAAAAATGTTATCTTAATCCAGGCCAGCATAACTTGTAACTCTCTAGTCCAGGCATGTCCAAAGTCCAGCCCCTGGGCTGGTTTCAAATGGTCCCCCAGGCAATTTTGAAAAAGCAATCTCTTGCAGCCCCCGAGCGCCTGCCCACCAAAGCTATTTCCTTTTTGTGGGCTCATCACGAGCTCTCCCCTCTGTGCGGGAGGCGTGGCTAGCCCCATGCCTTTAGGGAGTCCCCGGCTGCGTCATTCCTTGGGTCGACTAATCTGGTCTGCCGGGGGGTGGCGTGACTAAATAAATAAATACTACAGTACACATTCAGGATACTGATAGTGCAACAATGGCGGTGGCAGAGGGCTGGCCACCACCTTGACCCAGTGCCGGATTTATGTATAGGCTAAGTAGGCTGAAGCCTAGGGCCTGTAAATCTAGGGGGCCTCACCAGACCTCCCGCTCCCCAGCAGCAGTCTCCCCTCTCCCAAAATTGCAAACCGAAGACTTCATGCAAGGGCAGGGCAACTCAGGCCCAGAAACTATGAGACTCAGGCATAGCCAATGGGGCCTAATTTGAAGCAGTGGGGTCAACTTGATTTTTTTTTTTTAAGGCCCCAACTCACAGCCAAAGTCTGCAAAATCTTATAGATATAAATAAAATCCATCTAGATTGTCCTGGTACAAGGGCCCCCTTAGGAGCAGCACGCAGGGCCCAATTTGGTCAAATTGCTCCAATTGCCTTAAGGTCAGCCCTGATGAGACTGTGCAGGGGTTGGACTGACAAGCCCCGCACCTTCTGGGTCCCTGGTGCCACTATTCAGAGTACAGACTCAAGGACTTGTTATGGAAATAAAGAGGGGGCACTTATTGGAAATCAGTTTTGTCACCTCTTCCCCACCCTACACTACAGCATGGCCATAAACCTGTACGTTCAACAACTGAAATATACACCCAATATGTAGCAGTGGAGATTTATGTTACTGCTTTATGAATGAACACTGTGTTTTAGAATGGACTCTGTATTTTGTGAATTACCTAAGAACCAGCAATAGGGAGCTCTAGAATCTGAAAGCTAACCAATTGGGTACTAACAAACAGCGACCCCTATTGCTGAAAGCAGGAAACCAGCAGGAAACACTTCAGCTCAGCCTTTGCACTGTTGACTGAATGCCCCCTGCTGTGCAGATAATGGAGAAAACTCGTAAATTGTATCCCTTCTGGCATCCTGGCCAACTCTATTATGCTGGTGTAAACCCTGGTGCACCAGAAGCCCATAATAGCAGCAAATAAAATCTGCTCATACGTCAGCAACTGATAAGACTTGTCAACCAGTTCTTCCAAAGTCTTCCTTAATTATAAAGCTCCAAAATAATGAAGTGAGAGCAGTAGTTTACTTGCTTGAATTGACAAATAAGAAAGTTTTGAGAATTTAAATTCTAGATTAAAATTGATTACTTAATTGAGATGAGGATTGTAACAAAAACACTGGGGCTTAATTTGAATACTAGAGTGCCTGGTATCTGATGGGCAGACCAAAGCATTCGTCAGGAGAGCTATGAGATTCAGGTGAGGGTCAGATGCCTTGTCAATCCCAGCAGGTATATAAGAGGATGACCTAGTCTGCCCAGGCTCCTTGGTCTCAGTGTTGTAGAACTCAGCAGGGAGGAGTAGAATTAGTGGGCTTTGCCTGGTGGTTCTGCCACCACCTTCTGTTGGCCTCCCTGACCTCCCTCTCCCAGTCCCAATGGGCACTAGCTGCCACTGGTTCCTGCCACGTACGGATATTAATTAACTGTGTTTATTTGCTGCTTGGTGTGGCTACAAAAAATGAGGGGAAATATTAAGCGCATTTCAGGCTCATTTGACTTAGCAGGTCAAAAGTTGCACAGGACATTTTAATAACGTAACAGGACAGCATTTTCAAAATCAATTCATCTCTAGGGGGCAATCCTTTCTGTTTGTTACGTGTATGCACTTCTCAGTATATGGTACACAGTCTTGCCCTTGGCGGATGTGATGGGGGAGGAAGGATACAGTTGGTCTTTTAGCATTTGTTTTAAAGTATGTTTTCTGTCTGTGTTTAAATCAAGACTCCAAAGGGACCTCAATGCTGCACAAACTGCATTTGCTTTAATGTTATAATATTTAAGTCTCTCATCTTTCTCTCTCTCTTTGTCCCTTGAAAGTAGGACATTTATTAATTTTGACCTAGATTTTTAAGCAAACCCATTAACACATACATAGATAGATTCATAACTAAATCCATTAGACCCTTGGGGCCTGATCCAGCCAGAGAGTGATTTCAGGGGGAATTTGCCTGAGCGACATGCTTAACACTTTCCCATTGAAATATCAAAAGCACTTGTAAAAATTGCCTATTAGCTGGATCATGTCCTTTTGTATTCAGAGTACATCTTAATATCAGGTATAGACTAATTAATGTGCCAGGGCTGCAAAAGGAGTAGATGCATGAATATCACACACACACATGTTTTAAAATGACAAAAAGTGAGGGTTAGAAATGAGACCAACCTGTCTTCTCCTTTTATTTCTCCCATCATATTAAGCTGATGAGTTTTTTTTCACCATGTCTCAAATTTGCCCAAGGGACAATAGGAAGAGACATTATACTGAAATGCCCATTGGTTTGATGAAATAGTTACGCTGCTGCCTTGAATTTGCATGGGACAAATCAGGTTCTAACTGGGCATGTGCACAATCTGCAGGCTCTCATATTTAAATTGAAAGCTGCTTCCATCGCTGCTGCCTCTTGCTGAGCTTAGAGACCGAAAGAGGGACTCTGAGGCTTTACAGAGAGAGAGAAATCACCATTGGATTGTGTACAGCTTCAGAAGAGACTGGGAGAGAGAAATCAGACAAGTCTTTTTGAGAAGTTGAAAATGGGTGAAACTGTGCTGATCGATTAAAGGGTCCTACGCAGAGGGATTTTTGTTCGTTTTGGTGGCATTTCCTGGGTAAATGGTTTCGACCTTACCCATATGAATACGCAGTCCATGCAGAGAGACACCTCATACCCGCCTACGGACTCCTACCACAGTAGAGTCATCAATTTCCTGAATGACTCGGAAGCAAATGCCTTCAAGCTGGTGGACCTGGCTCCATTAACCCCCACAGTAAGTGCGACCGAGAAATTGCTTGTGGGTGATTTAAGCCTATATAGCAAAAGTTTAGACTGGTGGTAATAGTGCCGAATTTTAATGGAACTGTGCAGGAACTACTGGGTCAGGCAAGAGTGTGTGAGACTGTGTGACCTTTACCTGTGTAAAGTTAGCAATTCACAAATGAGCATCTTCAAGGAAAAGTTGAGGGGAGCAGGAATGGAATTTGTTTAAAGATCGCCAGTGGAACTGCAAATAGACCTCTCTAGTCAGAAGGTGGGTGACCTGTCTGTGCTAAAACCGGTGATTTCTCCACCGGGAAGAAGAACGCAGGTTGCCATTTTACGGCATTTTACAGTAGAAGAAGAGAAACATTGTTCAGAATGTAGTCAGGGTCACACGAACAGAAATAGACTACTGAATTGCAAGGTTCAAAACTATTTTCCCTGTTCTGAAACAATTGGTTGACTCCACTGGAGAAATGAGTGGCAGCCCATGGGTGTCAATTAATGCGACTCTTGAGTCAGAGCTGCTATTTGTCGGCAGCCGGGTGATGGTCGTGGTGCTTTTATTCACTTGTTGAGTGAGTCCTCCTCTAAGGCCTTTTAAGAAACTTTCAACAGGAAGGAAATGCTTTCATGAAATTCCGAAAGGGCGGCTAGCTTGGTCTCTTGCAGCAAAAGCAGTTGCCTTGTGGCACCTTGGAAACACTGCTTTATTATAGCGTGAGCTTCTATAGGAAGTCGAAGTGGTGGCTCTGCTTCAAATGTGGATCTTTTCTATCCAAGCTCTTGGATAGAACACTCTCTATAATCCTTATAAAGTAGGAAAGGACTTTAAAAAAATAAAATCATTTCTGTCATTTCTATTTTTACCTGTAACCTTGTGATCATTTTTCTGGTGTTTAAGGAAACGAGTGGCGCATATTTATCACAGGAGTTCTGAAAAGTAAAATGCCCCATCTCTCACCCTCTCACTTTGGACAGGGGATTTAGTAACATTTGTCCACTGTTTAAATAGTCCTTAAAGTTGAAACAAGCAAAACAAAGAATCAAATATAGTTAAACTACTTTCAAATTGAGCAGGGAGTGGGCTCCTTTGTGGGATGCTGTAAAGAGGCTTGGTGCAAAGATTATTGCATGCATTGAATTAAAACTGTATGGTTAGCTTTGCCTAACTACACTGGTGTTATGCTACACTTTGGAAGTGATGGGCATGCATCATAGTTTGCCGCACATAATTTACTTCCATCTTTCAAACTGCCTCTTGCAATCTTTCAGGTCTAACTTTTGTGAATGGGTTTTGGCACGGCTATCAGTGAAATTGGTGTTCTGAGGGCCAAGTCGTCTATTACTTCTGGCAGCCGTCTTGCTCATGCAAGTGGTCTGTTCACATAACTTCAGAGGAGAGAACACATTGAAAAATTCAGATGGACTTCTGAGGCCAGCGAGCTCTCCATGCATCTTCTGTGAATTCTCTCCTCTGACATTATGTTGTTGTATAAGATGATCATTTGCATGAGCATCAAAATGTACAAAAATCTTTCACTGTCTTAGATAAATTCAATATTATTACTCTTACTCTTACTCTTAACCTGTCTTACGCCCTTAGGTTCCAGGGTAGGTTACAAAAATTACAACAATATACAACACGCAATTAGGTTTCTGTTTAAATCATGTGCGTGTTAATTGTAAATGGAGGATATATATGAGGGATTGCATCCAACTAAGTCCCATTCAGAGCTGACCTATTGAAATTAATGAAACTACGGTACTTTAGTCATGTCCATTCATTTCTATGGGTCTACTCCGGCACTGGATACAACCCAAGATCAAAAATGCATAGCAATCTTATGATATATACTAATAGCTGATTCAATTCTGCTAGTGCTGGTCCTTATGTAAGTCAACCGGCACCACTCACACACAAGGGTTTGTTTGCAAAAGTACCAGAGGCTTGCAGAAGTCGAAACAACCTTTAGGGGGGAAATCCCAAAGTGGGAGGGGAACCCCAGAACTGCCCAATGAGGATGGAGCATGCTCGGTAGCAAAAGAATTCTGATGGTGGGTTGGGAATTGGTTGTGGGAAAGAATAATAATAATATTAAATTTATTATTTATACCCCGCCCATCTGGCTGGGTTTCCACCAGCCACTCTGGGCAGCTTCCAACCGAATATTAAAAACAGGGCCACCTTCAGTTGTCTTTTAAAAGTACAATAGTTGCTTATTGAATTGACATCTGCTGGGAGGGCGTTCCACAGGGCAGGTGCCACTACCGAGAAGGCCCTCTGCCTGGTTCCCTGTAACCTCACTTCTCGCAGCGAGGGAACCGCCAGAAGGCCCTTGGCGCTGGACCTCAGTGTCCAGGTAGAACGATGGGGGTGGTGATGCTCCTTCAGGTATACTGGACCGAGTCCGTTTAGGGCTTTAAAGGTCAGCACCAACACTTTGAATTGTGCTCGGAAACATACTAGGAGCCAATGAAGATCTTTCAGGACCGGTGTTATATGGTCTCGGCGGCCACTCCCAGTCACCAGTCTAGCTGCCACATTCTGGATTCATTGCAGTTTCCGAGTCACCTTCGAAGGTAGCCCCACGCAGAGCGCGTTGCAGTAGTCCAAGTGGGAGATAACTAGAGCATGCACCACTCTGGAAAGACAGTCTGCGGGCAGGTAGGGTCGCAGCCTGCGTACCAGATGGAGCTGGTAAATAGCTGCCCTGGACACAGAATTGACCTGCGCCTTCATGGACAGCTGTGAGACCAAAATGACTCCCAGGCTGCGCACCTGGTCCTTCAGGGCCACAGTTGCCCCATTCAGGACCAGGGAGTCCTCCACACCAGCCCGCCCCCCTGTCCCCCAAGAACAGTACTTCTGTCTTGTCAGGATTCAACCTCAATCCATTACCCACCATCCATCCTCCACCGCCTCCAGACACTCACACAGGACATTCCCTGCCTTAACTGGGTGGGAGCAGGAATGGAGCGTAGCATTTAGGAGAAGGAGATGGGTAACTGGAACCACAGGCGGACTTTGGTAATATGGCAATACTTCTTATTTTCACAATAATTCATTTTCATGCAGTTGCTTTTTTATGGTTCTTCTCAGTAGGTACCCATATAAATATAGGTTTCATTATTATTACTATTATTAATAATAATATTTTGCAACCCTTTGGCTTGGTGCTCTGTACAGGGAAAACCCCGCACCACCCAAATCCTGCACTGCTGGAATGCTGAACCAGAACGCTCTACAAAGCAATGTTTTATTGCAGGTCCCGCTGGTAATATTTATTCATTCAAAAGATGAAACAAAATCTCTTTATGCAAAAGAGATAAATAACAGTGCCAAACTGCATGCAGGCAAGAGCTTGGGAAAATAGTGGGATTTGACTATGAGGATTTATTTTGAAATGTATTGACACAGCAGCATTGATGTGCATGGTGTTTTACAGAGTAATGTGAGCAACCAGTCAACCTGCAAAAGCAGGTCCGAGGAGCTTACAGTGTCTTTTCTGAGAGAGCAAGAGACAGTGGCAGACAGGGGAGGAGAAGGAAAGGTAAAAGCAAGTAGAATGAGAACATGCATGGAGACCGTCGAGGCCAGCAATTTGCTGTCATGATGGCCAACCAAGGGAGGATAGACAGCTCCATTGAAAGAGCATGGGACTCTTAATATCAAGGTCATGGGTTCGAGCCCCACATTGGGCAAAAGATTATTGCCTTGCAGGGGTTTGGACTAGATGATCCTTGTGGTCCCCTCTATGATTCTGTGATTCTTTAAGGCAGGACATGAGCACAAAAGCACTTTCCCTGCTTGTGATTCCCTGCAATGGGAACCACGTGACCATGCGGTTACACACACTTAGGCTAGAGTTCATTAGAGAATGAACATGTTAGGTGCTATATGAACACATATATTTCTGGGGTTTTTTGGATCTCATCATGGAAATGGATAGCAGATGGCAACAGCTGGTGGGGGGGGAGAGAAAGAGAGACAGGATTAGTGGAAAGTGGCCCAAATTTGACAGTCCAATGGGGATGTCATTTGCAAATGGGGGAAAGGGCAGACCTTTGAGATTACAATGTGCGGCTGTAGGTATATTTTCTACGTCACTTGTATGCCTTTTATTTTAGCTCTACATTTCTACCAGTGCTTTTTAGTATGCAAAAGTGTGGCATTTAAAGGTGACCATATGTGTTGCTTAATGCGATGTATAGACTCAATTTGGGGAGAAGACACAGATGCTACAGGACTTGCTATCGGACACCCTTTGTGGAAACCTCCCACAGCTCTGCAACTCATAATTTTTTTTGAAAGTGTGTGTGTGTGTGTGTGTGTTGATAGGTAGATAGACGATAGATAGATAGATAGATAGATAGATAGATAGATGATAGATAGATAGATGATGATAGGATGATGATAGATAGATGATAGATGATAGATAGATAGATAGATAGATAGATAGATAGATAGATAGATAGATGATAGATAGATAGATAGATAGATAGATAGATAGATAGATAGATAGATGATAGAGATGTATTTCTCCACACCTGACATTTGAAAGGGTGAACTGACTCCAGCCAAAAGTACAGATGGCAGCACTGAGTAAATAACTTGCATGTGTGAATCACCCGCTGCAGGTTAAACCCCACAGACCGAAAGGCCATATTATACCCACAGGCAACTCAAAACCCAATTCTCTTTTAAAGTGAGACTATTTACCCTCTTGGCTAAGAGTACTTAAGTAATAACTCACCAAATGGTGGAAGTGTGTGGATGAATCAACCTTTAAAAACTCTTACAGTGCAACCCTTACACGTGGCTCCTTGGCAAGTAATCCCCACTGGGTTCAATGAGACTTGTTCCCAGGTATGTGGGTGCAGGATTGCAGCCTTGGACTTGGTTAAGAGCAACGGGAGCTCACCCCGTCATGGGGATTCGAACCGCTGACCTTCTGATCGGCAAGTCCTAGGCTCTGTGGTTTAGACCACAGCACCACCCGTGTCCCT